AGCTAAGAGATTAAGAAAATCTTGCAATAGACGTATTCAAAACGGACTGGAAATCAGTGAGACAGGATGTTAGGTCTGCCAAACCAAAGGCAAATATTGCTAATGGGGAGATTTTCATTCTTGATTTAACCAAACAAAAAACTACAGAGCTCTCTAAGGGAGTCATGGGCTCTAATCTGCCAGCTTAGTAAAAGCACTGTCAACAAAAGTTAAACAGAGGGAGTTAGATTTTTTTTTTTTTTTTTTTTTGGTAGTGGGAATCAAACTTGGGTCCTTGCGCTTGTGAGGCAGGTGGCAGAATCCCTGAGCTAAATCTCCAGCCCTACATTTTTTTTTTTTTAAAGTAAGTCAAATTCAAGTCAGGTAGTATATTCCTAAATTGCTTCGCAGGTACCAAGTTAAAACTGAAGTCAGCAGCAAAGAGGATTTTAAATGGTGAACTGCATCCTGTCTCTGATCTTCACAATCAGCAGAGACCTGGCCTAACACCACAGGCAAGACTGCTTTAGGAAGGAAGTCCTCACATGGCCTCAGGCAGCCGCCCTTCAACTTTCTACCAAAGTAGTCCCCACTGACAAAAGTGACCTATTAGCCCTAGAGTCCACAAATACCTCAAGTTTATCTTTAAAATCTCCTAAAGCTAAAATGATTTTATTATAGTGAAATGTATTTAAAAGTTTATTCTAACATAATAATAGTCAACCTTTACTGAATCCTAACCACACAAGCAACCATTGAGCTCAAAATTTTACACAAATTACATAATTTACTTCCAGCCCAGACTTAGGTGAGGCTCCTTTGAGTCCTCTGCTTGAATAGGCCTGACCTTGGGCTAGACCTTGGACTTCCCTCTCAGACCTTGTTGCATTCAGTTTGAGCAGGAATCCTGTCAGTTTAGAGACTCCCCTACCCTTGGGTATCTGACCACCCTGGGCTGCCTTCAGCAACAAATGTGTTTTACCGGAAACTCCTCACTCCTGATGCTTCCTCAGTAAATTTTCTATCTACTGACCCCACCCTGGTTCATGGTTATAAATTCCCACTTGATCTTGTGGAAGTCAGAGTTGAGCCCGATCTTTCTTGCCCTTTGTGAGATCCTGTTGCACTGGACTCTATACTATCACCATGGTCCCCCTGGCATAATGTCTGCCTTACCATCTTCAACAAGTATTTGGGTAATTTTTTCTTTAATATTTCACAATATTAGGTGCCATTTCTGTTAATGTTTTACAGATGAGGAAATTTCGGCTCAGAGAAGTTAGGAAACTTTCCCAAGGTCATAAATCTAATAAGTGGTGGGATGGGATTCAAAGATGCATCCCTTTGTAATTATTCTTAAACATTATATTGCATTACATTTAATTGCCTTTAAAATAGTTATCCTGTTATCTCAGTCAGGGTCAGTAAATCTTTACTGTAGAGGGACACAGTAAATCTTTTAGGCTTGCAGGTAACAAATAGTGATCCATTGCTACATACAAACTACTCAATTCTGCCACTGTAACAGATAATATGTGACTGAATGAGCATAGCCGTGGTTTAATAAAACTATACATATAGTTTTATATATATCGGTGCCAGGGATTGACACTGGGTCCTTGCACTTGCAAGGCAGGTGGTGGAACCACTGAGCTAAATCCCTGGCCCTAAAACTTTATATATTAAAACAAGAAGCAGGCTAGATTTGGGCCATAGTTTGCCAAACACTTATATAAGTGAAAATTCATGTTTCACATATGCCATATTGAGTTTATGGCTTTGCATTATTTCCTAATCTAGTTAGGAAACAACGAACAGGTCCGAAGAAAAGCTTTTTTTTTTTTTTTTTTTTTTTTTTTTTTTTTTTTTTTTTTTTTTTTTTTTTTTTTTTTTTTTTTTTTTTTTTTTTTTTTTTTTTTTTTTTTTTTTTTTTTTTTTTTTAAGATAGAAGCAAATGCCAAAGGATAAGATAAAGGGACTTAAGCTTTCTTTTATTCTTTACCATTCAATCTAGCAACAACAGGGGACCCTTCAGTCCCTGCATTATGGCTTCTCTGACTCTATGGAACATGGACTTCCCCATGTTGGGCTCCACTCAGCCTCTGGCAACCTTTCCACTTTAGCTGTGAACTTTCTCTCCTCCTGCATCTAGGTGGTTATGCCTTGTTTTTCCACCCAACTGGGACCCTCTTATAGCCATATATTTTCTAATTATCTGTTTTGGGGTTTTTTTTTTTGTTGTTTTTTTTTGTTTTGTTTTTGTATGTGTGTGACATATCTCTATTGTCTTCAGTTACGCTAGAAAAATTTTTCCATTCTCTGCATGTGGTTCAAAGAGATTCCTCAAGAAATGCTTTACTATATCTTAGTTAAAAATGATTTACCCTCTAAAACACCATTTCTAAATATGATATCTATACTTATTTTCTCTGAGCTGTTGTTGGCTCATTTATTTCAAATATCATAATACTAATAAAATAGCTAAGAGTCTCATTTAAGAGTTCAATGTTACTGGCTATAAATGGTAACTGGAAAGAGTAGTTTGGATTAATTTAGATGTTTAGCTTTGTTTCCATGTTCTGAATGAGGGAAGGAAAATTTAAGTTTCTTTTTCACATACAACTGGAAGGTGAAGGCTATTTACCTCTACAACACTAACGATAATTCTGGGTGCCAAAATTAAGTAGATGAGGTGGAAAAAAATCATAGAGACACCAAACATCTGAATATACTAAAATGGTGTATAGAAAATGAAATATGAATGGCATTCCACATTCTTTTTAAGAAAAATTGCCTTCAATAAGTATAGCTCAAGTACCTCCACTGAAAAAAAATAGCAGGTATTCAAGTTATTACTACCGCACATTTCCAAGATCATCACCTAGACCATTTACTAGAAGGAAAAATGGAAAGCGCTGTGTACTTAAGTGCAGCTTGGTCTTTTCTCATGAGTGTGTAACTCTCTATTCTCTAACTCTTCTTTAGATGGGCTCCGTGCTCAAGGTGGCTCACTTCTTTGCTGGTGGCAATTGTGTCTCATCTGTTAATAGAATCTTCTCTAGATTTTCTGATTTTGTCTCTTCTTTTAGGTCTTTATCTTGTAGATATTTGTGACTCATTTCTCTCAAGTTTGCCAGCAATAATGTATTCCAATGTGTAAAAGTCTAAAAAAATTGTGTGGTTGTTACCAGACGTGGGGAGTAGGGGAAGAGGGAGGTGGGGAAAGGTTGATCAACGGATTCTAGGCTTCAGTTAGATAGAAGTAAAAGCTCTAAAAAAATAAAAAAATAAAAAAGAAGTAAGAAGCTGTGCTAGGCTACTGCACAGTGCATAACTAAGATAAGAATAAGGTGATTAAAGCTCTGATAATGACACCTGCTATACATTTCAAAAAGCTAGGAAGATTTTCAATATTTTCTTCATGAAGAAACAATGCTTAAAGAGATACATATTTACCTGATTTAAATCTAACACAATGACACATGTATTGAAGTATCACATGGCATACATCAATACCTGTATAAAAATAACAACTTATGTATTTTTATGTATCAATTAAAAATGATTTTATTTTACATTTTTTAGAAAGGGGAAAACTCAAGAAATTTAAAAAATGCTAGTTGAAGAATCTGTGTCTCTTCTAAAAAAGCATTATAGTAACATGCAACTTAATCTTTAAACAAGCACTCAGAGTGGTTTCACTATTATCAATGAGAACCCAATTAAAGAACATGGTCACCCAATGTGGTGGTGGGAGGTGGGCGGAGGGAGTTATCACACACACTGACAGAATTCCATAGACGTACAGTGCACACTCACACAGGAGTGACTCGAGGCACACACAAAGATGTGTTTAACATTCAAGCTAAATTTATCTGATCCCTAAAAATTTTAGACCCAACACTTCTTACCATGTTTTAGAACTATGTTGTGGCAACCTCTCAGGAAATTTTTTGGAGGATTAGTTAATAATTTATTAAATTTAAGAGACACTAAAATTTTAACCACATCCTTATGAATTTCTTCATAACCCTTCCGCAACTTGCTAATACTACAACATTGCTGAATAATCAGCATTAATAATGTTAAAATCAAACATAGGAAGCTATGACTTGACACTATATCATGAACATTATGATTTTTCCATAATCGTGGTGGAGCCTAGTCCTGGTCTTGTCATTCACTAACAGTGTAAATCTGGGATAAGGCTCTGATTAAAGCTCTGAGCTACAATTCCTCTGTATATAAAGTTGGATTAGACTTGCCCTATCTACTCAACAAATATATTTTGAGATTTAGGCAATCAAGATAAAAATCGAGATGATTTAAAAAGTAATAATAATAAGGAGGGGCCGGAGATTTAGCTCAGTCTTTCCGCCACTGCCTGCCTCCAAAGTGCAAGGTCCCAAGTTCAACCCCCAGTACCAAAAAAGAAAGAAAGAAAGAAAGGAAGGAAGGAAGGAAGGAAGGAAGGAAGGAAGGAAGGAAGGAAGGAAAGGAAGGAGATAGAAAAACTATAAAAGGTAATATATTACTTGAAGGAATATCAAATTACATTTAAATAGAGCTGTATTCAATGCTATTGTGGTTTCTTTTTTTAAAATGAAATATATTACAATTAAAAACCAGTTACCATCTAAATAATTTTACATAGACAGAAAATTAATTTTTGTCCCATCATTACATCAGAACAAGGCACCATCAAACTTTTTTCAGAAAACACACAGCAAAAATAAGAAAAGCAGAAAAAATAAGAAAATAAGAGATACATTGCAGAGTCATTTGAGAGTGATGCGAGCTCACTCCAGGCACTGTTGGGAACCATCCGGCAGCGCTTCAGTCCCAGTGAATAAAGACAGTGGGGCTCTATATTCTTTGAGTCCTTCATTAAACTATTGATCCCTTTAGCATTATCCATAATGTTCCAGCAGCTCAGCATGTCAACTGGTGAAGTGCTAGTCTCCCCCTCCTTTCAATAACTTCCACACTTTATGGAGAGGAAGGCACAATGATTTATTTACCTGACATTTTCCAGTCCGGATGTCATACAGGGCCACTGAACCATGGCGTGCTCCAACTGCTATTCTGTGACTCCGCTCATAATAGCTGACCATGTAGAACCTGAATTGAACATTTCACAACAAAAACAAAAACAAAAACCCAGGTGAGATGACCTGCACGTGGAACTGGATAGGAACACACCCCAGAGATGAAAGCCAGTTCTGCTATGTATTTCTAAAAACATGTAACAAAGACTTCAAAACTCTTTCATTTCAGTAATTTTAAAAAATCAACTGAAGAGAAATTGATGTAAAACATTATTAGGTATGTTAATAATTACCTTCAGTAGAAAACAATTCATAATCCACAAACATCCTTAAATTTTTTTGAACAATAAAGTACAAAAAAGATGATTAAATCTAAAAATACAGTTTTGTGACAAAAATTTAATTATATTCTCATGGCTTATTAATGTAGCAGGTAGCAAAATACGCTTTCTAACAGATGATCACAAAAGGCTACATATATATTATGCCTAGGGTCTTTTAGTAATGTAGAGTGAAACTAGAAAACTATTCACCAGAAAAGTTATCTTGCAAATTCTCTAGATTTTCTCCACAATTACCAGTTTATTTAAATGATGACTCGGGCTACAGGCAATATGAATAAGCACTTTTGGTACTTATTTTGCATTGCATAAAAATAGAACTTAGGGAGGATGATTTGAAGGTATAATAGATGATATATCATTTATTTTTACTTTCTCTAGATTAGTTCTCATGGCTGGATTAAGTATTTGAATTTTTCATCTATGTTTTTTCACACTAATTTCATGTACATTGATCGAGAGTCTGAAAGTAAGAAAAAAAAGTGTTAAAAGTATAAATTACGTATGATTTTATATCTGCAAATAATTTTAATTTACACTTTCCATTCCCTTGTCCTATGGTCTCAGTGTGAGTTGTGCAAGTGAACACATGGCCTACCCTAAATATTTGTGACAATTTCATCAGTTCTTGGATACTTCATTGTTGTTTTTACCTCTGCTTCCATATGACCAAACTTTTCTAGTTTTTTTCTTTTTTTTAAGTGAGACGGGGAAAGTAAAACATGACAGGAAAAAGCATGTCATTTCTCTAATGCTTTCTTAAGATAGATGTAGAGTAAAAAACTACTAGGGCATTGGACAACATTCTGAAATTCTAGGAAGAGAGGCTGAGGGGTACAAGATGATGATCAGGGATATTATGACGAGGTTATTTTGTCATCTACAGACATTACAGAGCACATACATATTTCATAAATCTGAAAAAGAAACTATTACATTTTAAGATTTTTGGTTATCAAGTAATGGATTAAATGATCTTTGGTCCAATTCCCTAAACCTCGCCCAATGACCGACCCTTTCCTATTAGTGGAAGGTCAGTGCTTTGTTTCCATTTACATGGAGGATACTACAGAATGCCTGGCTGGGTTTTGCTATGTGAGGAATACCATTATTCTCCGTGTATCATAAGGTGAGGGAAGGAAGGGTATGGGGAGTTCCTAAAACAAATTCCTCAGTATTAAGTGTTAGTAATAGGTCAGTTTCACAAAGCTTTTCCTGGCAAAAGTACCATACTACTCTACCGTGACAAAGTGGGAATCAGCATTCAAAATCTAATGTTCTTATATTTGAGAATGTAAATTATTTAGAAGAGTTTTTTTTTACTGTTTCATTATTTGATAATTACAGTGGCCCAAATACTTGGCAATACTGTATTTATATCTATACCAATATTGACATCTATCTTTGTATACAAATACCCACATGTAATTTATATACTATTAGAGTAACATATATTTTAATATCAAACAAATATTTTAACAAATATTTATTCTATGAAGGTTAATGGCCACAGGGAAATAAAATTTGCACTAGTGATTTCCCTTTTATTTGCACATATTTAATAGCCACACTACCAAAATTCTTCTGAATACTGAAAAAATTTGAAATACAATCTTTTTCAAAATAATCCTTTTCAAAACAAAACATTGATAAAATACATTTTTCTGGACAAAGTCTTAGTTATACTAGAATCTAGAGTTTTTGTTACATTGCCCATTTGATATGCTCTGGATAGCCACTTCATCCTTCTATATTATCTAGAAATATCATTACTTATGGGAGAAAAAAACGGATTAAGTTTATTCTTGGCATCAAACCTTTAGTCTGCCTGAAAGGACCATATATTTCAGGTCTGCAGTCTTCATTTTTTGCAATTTACTACTAGACAAATGCTTCAACATCAGAAGGAATCTTGGACAGTGAAGGGTTTATGGCTAGGTTTTTTTTTTTTTTTTCATTTTAGGATATCTTATTTAACTCTTTATTCTTGACTCTTCTGACAGAAATCTGTGGCATGTATGCAGTCACTTCACAAGGGTCACTCACTATGGAGAGGTCTCCAGGGCCCCCTACCCCAAGACTACTCTCCTCTGAAACCAGCTCATTTGCGAGCACTTAAAATAAAGGATGGTGAACTATGCATTACTTGCCCACATTTCTGAAAGTAAAGGAGTATCAATAATAGTGGTACCAATAATAGTGGGGTTTTTTTGATACCAGGGGTCAAACTCAGGTCCTTGTGCTTTCAAGGCAGGTGGTAGAACCACTGAGTTAAATCCCTGACCCCGTAATAGTTTTTTTAATACTCTTCTAGTCTTGTTCTAATCCCACAGGAAAGTCTTGTGTACTCTAAAATTTGGGTTCTCAGAGTCAAGATTTATGTGTGCTGAGTGTCTAGAAATGGAACCTTAGTGTTTAGTTCATAATGATGATAAGATGTCATATTGGTATCATTTTTTGGACAAAAAGTTGATAAGCAATCTTTCAAGTTAGCACAACAGCTCTTCTCTCTTACTAGTTGGGCCGAAAGGATACTCAGTTAAGTCAGAGAAGATACTATTAAACAAGTGAAAGCGTAAAATGTATTTGAGTAGTATTATAAAATATTTATTTTTTGTTGTTGTTGAGGCTAAAGTGGTCATGATCCAGAAAGTTTAAAATCATTGATCTCTACAGTTTTGTTATGGCCCACGTACAGCCAAAGTGATCCCTGTCAACCACGAACCACATTACCTCTCTCTTCTGTTCACAGTCGCCCTTCAAAGCCCAGATACTATGCGAGTAATGTCTCCTCCTCATCCCTTTGCTCACTCTGCTCTAGATGTAGCAATCTTGTACTTTCTGCGACATGCTCAGAGGGTTCCTACTTTTGGCTTTGACATTTACTGCTCCCTCTGCTTGAAAAATCTCACCAGCCAAATCTCTGTGTTACTCAGGCTCTCCCTGCATATAAATCCCTGTTTTAAGGTTATCTTGATAAGATACCACTTCAGGACACCTTATGTATACAGCAGCCCTTCTCCATTACTCTTTAACCCAATATACTATTTTAAAAATTATACTTCTCACCTCTAAGATACTGATCTTAATTTTTTTGTTGGTAACTTATTTTCCTCCACCAGATATTTTTGTCTTTTAATGTTATATAAATATGTAAATATAGTACAAGCAAACGGGATGGAACAAGAAATTTAATGAATAAGAAGATAAAAAATATTATGTTTATCCTTCAATGACTACTGTATAATTTGTGCTAATCATAGATTTTTTTTAAGATGAATGAATATTTTATAGAGCCTGAAATAATAGATGAGCATAGAAAAAGAAACAAAACTTCTCAAAAAAGACAGAAATCAAGGTCCAGTAAACTTTTAAAAATGTATTTTAAAAAATGTATTTTAATTTCAGATAACTCCAGATTTATAAGAAATTAGCTATTAAGGCCCCTGAAGTTTGGGTACATTAGCATGACACTAACAACTACAAACCTATACTCCCTATTTCTATCTTGGGAAATGAGAAAAGATTACATGGGCTGAAATTCAAGAAGGCAAATATAAATAAATAATGTTATACACAATGAAATATATTTTCAGTATAAATGTTCTAGGAATAAAAGTTATTCAAAGGATTTGTCAACTATCACCACGCATAAATTTCAATTAACATAGTATTATCATACAAAGCATGAGTTAAAAGAAATATTCCTTATTCATCATTATTAAACATTAACTAGGTTATTGGGGAGGAGTGATACAATCCATTTCCCCCAAGCCACAATTGTGACTCCAAATATTCAGAAGCAATGGGTGTGCTCACACCCCCAAAAGGGATGGCTTGCAATCTGAAATACAAATATGAGTCGGACCCATTCTGGCATACAGTTTACTTTACAGCAGATCAGTCTGTTCGGGAGTTTACTAAGTATCTAGTACCCAAGATTCCCAATAGCTGTCTCTATTTTCAGTTCCCTGTGAATTGACAAACTTTAAATCATTATTAAAAATGGCTTTCAAATAAGAGAAAATGTGCCAAATTTTAAAAGTCAATTTAGAAAAGATAGAAAAAGGAAAATATGCATCTTTACCAGTAACACAATTTGGGAGAAAGGAACCTATGAAATTGCTTTTACTCTGACTCTGGTAATCTCAATGATCTGAGGGTGTTAAGTTACACCATATAGCGCATCCTTGAGCATGAATATGTAGCAAGAAACATTCTTGATTAATTCAAAATTAACCCCTAGCTTAACATGAAGCTACTTTAAATTTAAGGGACTATAAAAATGGGAATTAATTATCTTTTTCCCCCAAATACATTTTCAGTTCATTAACTATAGTGACTACTAGCTGCAGTTAAGATTTACATACTATGTATGTATCAGGCACAATTGTTACTTTTGTACATGTATCTTTATAAGTAACTGAGGTATTATGAACAATTATTATTCTAGTTTTTAGCCATGACTCAAAATGCTTCACAAACATTTGACTGATTTTCTTCAAAAAGTAATAAGGTAAAATGTACTTGCAAAAATATGATGACCACAAAAACACATATATAGAAAATGTTTTAATTCATATATAGGTTTTCTTTCTTTCTTTTCTTTTTTTTTGGTACCAGGGATTGAACTCGGGTCCTTGTGCTTGCAAGGCAGGCACTGGAACCATCGAACTAAATCCCTGGCCCTATAGTTTTAATCTATATATTGATTTAAAGTAAATCTTCTACA